TATATATATGTGTGTGTGTGTGATGCTAATATGTGATAATTATGTTTCTGATCCCTCTACTAGTATATTCTCGCAAAAATGATTTATTTGGATCTTATGTGCTTATAACCAAAGGATTTCAGTAAATTGTACATATCCACAGTGTAAAAAGCATTTAAAGTTGTCATTAATCTTGCCGCAACCAAAATTACGTATCATTTTTACCGGATTTCCAATTAATACATTATCCATAATTATAAATTATCTGATTATGTAAATATTTTATATTGTTTGTACAAAAGACTTAAACTCCATAACCAAAATATCACAGGAATCAGAATACAGAAAAATTATCACTAACGAAGGGACCAAATTAAGTGTTGCAGTCATATATTATTTATTCATTTAATTTTAACCACCTAGTTACGTGCCAATGTTAAGACAAGAGGAGTTGCTCACTTCCAACCAAGAGGTTGTGAGTTCGAGTCTTCCCAAGAGCAAGGTGGGAAGTTTTTGGAGGGAAGGATGTCGGGGGTCTATTTGGAAACAGCCTCTCTACCCCAGGATAGGGGTAAAGGTCTACATACACACTACCCTCCCCAGACCCCACTAAGTGGGATTATACTGGGTTGTTGTTGTAGTTACGTGCCAATGTAGGAAAGAGAAGTGTATATGGAGCCTCTTTAAAGTCTACATAAATACATCTAGCTCTCTAATTTGTATCAATTCACTAGAAAAGAAGAGAGAAAAAATGGAACTTCATACTATCCTTCTCTTGTGCATCTCCCTTTTTGGCTGGTTCTTCTTTAAAACATATCTTCATTCTAAATCCAGAAAGCTGCCCCCTGGTCCTACTGGTTTCCCCATAATCGGTTCTCTGCTAGAGCTAGGCTCAAAACCTAATCATTCACTAGCCAACCTAGCCAAAATCCATGGCTCTCTCATGACTCTAAACCTCGGTTCAGTCATTACCATAGTAGCCTCCTCACCTGAAACGGCCAAAGAAATCCTTCAAAAACACGACAAAACATTATCAGCACGCACTGTTCCTGATGTTATCACCGCCCAACCAAATCCAGAAGCCACCTTAGCTTGGGTCACAGGCGACAAGTGGAGAAACAGAAGAAGAATATGTAGCACGCAGATGTTTACTAACCAAAGACTCGATTCACTCCAAGAAATACGTCACGAGAAGGTTGCACAACTAGTGAATCATATGAGAAAGCAGTGTCAAAATGGGGCAGCTGTTGACATAGGACGTGTTGCTTTTGCGACGACGTTGAATTTAATGTCGAGCACCATTTTCTCGGTTGATTTGGTGGACCCGGAATTCGAGACGGCTCAAGAGTTTAAGGATTTGGTTTGGAGAATTATGGAGGATTCAGTGAAACCTAACTTGTCTGATTATTTCCCGATTATACGGTGGCTTGA